AGCTCTGGGGAGGAAGGGGATGTGGGAGGTGAATGGAAGGGGGGCAGTACGGGGGGCTGGGTGGGTGGCCTGTGGGGTCTTGGGGCTGGTGTGGAGGCAGCGGAGCCTGCAGCGGGCACGGCCGGGATCACCCGCCTTGGAGGGGATGTGGGGGGTGAGGGGCAGCTGGTGCAGGAAACACCCCACGGCCCCGGCAGTGTCTGCTCAGGCCCCAGAGAGGGTCTGTCCCTGGCTCCTCAGAGTTGTGCTGGCGCTTTAGCTCCCGGTGTCTCCCGCCCGTGTCTGCTGTTTGTGTCCGTACTCACTCTGGCCGCTCTCGGGGTGCCAGTACTAAACAAGCTCAGCATAATCTTACTTCCTGTTGTCAGACCAAAGCATTACTCTTTTGTTTTTCCCCACTCAAGTGACCACCTGTCTGTCATTGCTGTGGCCTTACTTCTGCTTACGTCGGACAGCATTCCCCTTCATCTTTCCCTATGCTTTTATCCCTTTGGTATAGGTATTTTACACTGTTGTATCTACTCAGCATAATTCTGCCTCTCTGTTGGATGCGTGGCTGCTCTGTGCACATAGGCCCAATTTCTGTGCCTTGTATCACCCTGCAAGCTGATGGAGAAGCAAACAGCTCTGTGGCTTGATGTGATGTGATGTGTCACTGCTGCGCCTTCCTGTCCCATGCTGAGCCCGTGTTTGGAGCGTCTGTGGCTGGCACAGGCTGGGTGAGCTCTGGCTGTTGAGGGAACTGGTCCTCCTCTTCCTCTGGTCTCTGGCTGTGTGTTCATGCCTCCTCTTTGTGTCAGCTTTAGCAATCGTGTGGTTCTGGGATGTGGAGGAAGTTGGAGAAGAAGGTTGTTTGAATGGCTTAACCCTGGCAGAAGTTGGAGTTCCTGTTCTTCCCTCCATTGATCCTGTCTCTGCTGCCAGCTGGTTCCTGGCTGCTACTGCCACAAGTTTTTGTGATGACCGTGGCTTGTATTGTTGGATCCTTCAGTGATCTAGCTGCCCTGCCAGGAGAGGCTGGTTGGTTTTCTGCTGGGTTAGTGAGTTGAGTCAGCATTGCAAGGGGTGTGAAACCTACTAAAGCTTATGGGGAGGAGGAAGAGGAAACTTCACTGCCAGAAGTGAGGCTTAGAGGAAGGTAGAGGGGAGCGAGACCTCCCCTGAGTAATTGGGGAGCTTTTCTATTGACTTGAGCTGTTCCACAAAGTTTTGCCCTGAGTTGGATATGCTTGCTACTATGTGTACTTTCTGGCACAACTATGTTTAATGTGGATTCATCCTATTTGGTGACAATGCAGTCTTAAATTGGCTAAATTTAACCATTGAACTGTACCATTAAATATTTATTTTTTAATTACTGGTGCCTGCCTAAATGTAGAATGTACTTGAGAAAGCAATAAATTGTGGCTAAAATTTGTTAGCAGGAGTGTGCTACTGTCGCTTCAAGTTAAAACATCCTAGTTCATTTGAACTCAGTTTGTATCATTCTCCTTTTGCCCCTATGGTTTCCCTTCCTTCAGGAGAGAAACTGTGGAAAACCCTATGTCAGGGTATATTGTGGTCTTTTTGACAGTCTCTGATACTACTACCTCTGAAGAAACTGCAGAAAGCCTTATGGTGTAATCACTTGATGCCACTGAAACATCCTTCCAGCCTGGAGCTGATATGAAGTGGTTAAAATTATGAAGCAAAAATCCTGTAGTATTTCTGAAAAAAGTTTATATCTTTCATTATTAGTATTTGCTGTTACAGTTTTTGTCATTCTTCGTGTTAAGATGAATTGCCTAAACCGAAGACTAGAAGCCTTCTAAATGAAGTTTACTGCAGTGGTAAGGGATGGTAGAGACAGTGATGTAGACCAAGGTCACTACAAAGTCCTAGCGTCCTTGCAGGGAGTAGCATGGACATAATGAACACAGCACAGGAAGGAGCCTTATCTTATAGCAAAGCAGAGTTGCAGCTTTCTCCTGACCTTGCTGAGCAGGTGGGTGTAGTCTCCGTTCTTCCCATCAGTGTACCTGTTAGAGCAGTTAAATAAACCTGTTGGGAGGCATATAGTGGATAGAAATGTCAGTTTACTTTCTTACAGTCATGGAGAGAACTGGGAGGACGTGGGTGAATCAGAGTTCCTGAGTCACCAAATCCCTGTTTTCACAGGGAGCTATTTAAACCTTTTAAAACATGCTACTACATACGGCTTCAGACACATGACTTCCCTGCTTACCTGTTTCTCATAGAGTTCACGTTGATCTCTTCTGGCTTTGAGGTGTAATTGGGAAGATCATAGTTGCCCGAATCAACAAAACAAAGGTTTCTTTGCTTGCTTAAAACGTGTATGCAGGGAGCATGGGTTGTTGCTGATATGTGATTAGATAATAATGGCTATAAAGACTCATGTCAGAGGTATGGTGGGCGATTTCATAGTAAAGCGTGTGGTTTTTTTCCCACTCCAGTAGATAAAATCTTCTAGTTATAAAACCTGAAGCAATGATGGCCTATTGTTTGTAAACTTAGGACATACCAATTTGGGGTTGGAAATGAGGTTCAGAAACTGATTTTGAAAAGGGTCATGGAAAAAGCTATTAATTTGGGCACACTCTTGCAAATTTGCAAACACGTTTTTTTAAGCTTACTTTGAAAATAATCTCACTGAAGTCACATGCTTTTCCTTCTTGACTCCTTCTCTGCAAGTGTGGACAGACCAAAGGCCTAGCAAGGAAACGCGTTTGCAGTTCTCCTACAGTGTGTCGGTGACTTCCCATCAAATGAAGAAGTTGCCTGGGGAGGGGCTTCGGAGCGGTCCCGAAGTAGTAAGAGCTGAGCTGTGCTGGCAAGCTCTATGTATATCATCAGGAATTCCTGGAGTCATTTTTTGATATGCAAATAGCATTGTGAAATAATACTTTCTCCTTATCTCTAAGCAATGAGAATTTCAGTTTCAGAGTTTAATGGAGCAGGCTTTTACATTGACGTTTCACTTTTGTTTTTTCTTCTAACAAAACGTTTTCTCTTAATGAATGAGATACGGATTGTAGCAGCTGCATGAATCACTCTGAACCTAAATTTTTAGAAAGGAGAAGCAAGTTTAAGTGATGTAGAAATATAGCTGCTGTAAGTAACAGTTAAAGAAAGAAAAAGCAAAATTCTGTTGCTTTCAATGTGTGCAATTGTAAGAACTCTCTAGAAGAAGCTTCAGCCTCTTCCAGTCTTTAAAAATGCATCAGTAAAAAGCTGTATATTTATGGGATCATTTCTTTGTCGTTATCTGTCACTGTTGTTGAAGTTTAAATTTATTTTTTTTTATTCAACTTTGTATTGACTTCCTGAGACCCCAGCTGCAGAACAGATGATGGATGAATGAGGCAGAAGAAAGAATATAAGTGAAACCATTGCCAATTACCATTCTTAGTAAAAGTATATTGTGGGTAGTTTCTGGGTAGAACTGGTGGTTCTAGTGTATTCCCTTCAAAGGGACTTGTCTGAGGAGTCTCCAGTTTAGATGGAACTGAAGCTTTGTACCTGGTTTGTGCAGGCAGCCCCGCAGCTGAAGACTGGCTGTCACTGCAGCTCCCTGGTATGTGTGGTGGTTTTCATCTTCTGTGGCTTTGATTGTGGTCTATCAAAACAAGGCCAGCTGAGATGCACCACACAGTTACACAGGGGATACAGGCTGAATAGGTCACTCCTGCCACTTTGTGTCTTTCTAGACTTAGGATTGTTTTTTTTTTCTTCTCTTCTTCACTGCTGTGTAACCAAAACTTAGTCACTAAGCATCTGTTTCTCAGGTAACAAAGTTTTTTGTCACTTTAAAATAGGAGTAATATAAGAAAGTGACATATTTAACCCCTTTGGAATAGGTCTTGATCAGTAGTCAGAGAAACTGTTGTATGTTCTTAACCTGTATACTTTGGTTTACTTCTTACTTTCTGAAGAACATGTAGAAATTGGAATATCAGGGGTTCCAGGGGGTACGGCGCTGCAGTGCAGCCTCCTTCCCAGCCTGCTGCATCCCAGTGCTGCCAGTAGGGAGTAAACCCTCTGATGAGTGGGGTTATTGCACGGGTAATCTCTGTGTGGTTGTGGTACTGCTGAAATCACCGAGGCCACTCGTGTGGGTGAGCTCAGCCACATTTAAGGTGTTAAGAGTTATGTGAGCAAGAACTCGGTCTGCATACAAAATCTGTTTGTTTGGCTCAGACTTACCTAGCTGTATTAGGAGGAATTTTTTAAAGAAATGTTTGGTCTGGACTTTCTGCCCTTGGTGTTTGGGACTGAAAAAGCAAGATTGTAACTTACTTGGCACAGCCGGCTGGAAAGTATTGCAGAAGACCAGAAAAAGAAAGATACAGTTAAGTTGAAAGAGAAAGCTGCCAAACATTTGTTTTTAAGTTTGGGTTTACCATTTTTCCTACTTACGTGGTTGTTATGTTTATAATTTCCAGTATGGCATTGTAGAATGGCACTTTCCATAGCTGAAGTATAGTGATGGGGAGGACATTCTTAGCGGGATGCTGGCGAGTTACACGTGTACATCATCTCTGTCCATACAACTAGGAGTCTGACGGAGTTAATTAAACAGAATGCTTCTAGATTTCTAATTGTTTGCTCTTCTGGAGATTACAGTGAATGTGCTGTTCTACTCAGACTCTAGTCAATGATTTATTTATTTTTAAGTATGTGAATATATCTTTTAAATGTGTATTCAGAAAATAATTGACCTTAAAAAATGGTGTATGTATTGAAAGATGGAAC